AAAATAACAATAATAATCTTAACAGAAACAATAAGCTTTCATATGTAATATGAAAGCTTAATAATAATCTTAACAGAAACAATAAGCTTTCATATGTAATATGAAAGCTTAATAATCTTAACAGAAACAATAAGCTTTCATATGTAATATGAAAGCTTAATAACAATAATAATCTTAACAGAAACAATAAGCTTTCATATGTAATATGAAAGCTTAACTAGATCTGCATAGCAGATATCAAAGCTTTCATATAAACTTCAAAAGGGGTTATTAGAATCTATGAATCAACAACCACTCTGACGGAAGATATTCTCTGGGCTAAAAAATCTTTTTTCTCTCAGCTACAAGAGATACGTAGAATTAAACCGGCCCAGAGCCGACCGTGTTGATACGAAGCCGCTTATTTGACATTGACACATAACTGAAGGTGAATAGGCCTACCCGTCCAGTTAATACAATGGGCAATCTCACATCGGTCCACTAAAGAGAGGCACATGCTAGTCGCCCCCTACTTCCCCAAGACATTTAGTCCAAACCTTGACTCTCATACATATAAACCATTTGGTACTACATGTACATGTATTTCGTACTTATATCATATTAAACCCCTCGGCCGCCATGTTGAATCACACAGTATTTAACGTTCTATATCCTAACATCTTTATGAAATCAACGACAAATCTAAACTTGGGCACTCCAACCATTTTTATTTTTACATCATTCAGTTTTTTTTAAATAAGTAATTCTATCACAAATTATAGTGAAGACTGGACCACACTAAACTAGTTACCCATCAGTTTTTCTTTGTGTTAATGCGTTCTACATTTTCAAAGCAATGATTCTTATAATGTGCGAGCCGCCATGACACCGGCGGATATTATAACTTCGATAGGCGAGAAACTTCAGGTAGCAGTTGGGTTTCATCAAATCATATAATTATGCGGTACGGCTTCACCTTTATTTCAATGGGAATTGGTTTATTATATGTGCAGTGCAGTTTTAGGTCAGTTTATGTGTAAATTAAGGGAGCTATACATAGGCCAGTAACCTTTTTGTAGTCATTTGACTAAAAAAAACTTGCGGAAAGGAACTCCGTAGGACAAGCCACTACTGTGGCAGGAGTAAGGCGGAAGACATCAGTAGTGGAACCATTTCTAAGTTAATCCCGAAGTGCGTTGCTATTGTAAGAATATATAAAATCGGGTTTCCGTTCCGCTTTTTTTTTGCTGTAGTTTGAGTAATGAGTTAGAACGTATATTTTGTATTCAAAAAATCATTGCAAATAGAAGACCTCATCCCCACCACCACCAACCTGTAATACACTAGCTAGCTTGTGTATTTCCATATTCCATTTCCGAGAGATAGATAGAGAACACGCGAAATATAAAGTGATTTTTCTTACAATCAGGGACCATAATTCATGAAGTTACGATTCGATATGCGCAAATATCGAAAGGAACCATATCTTTGGGTTATAAACATGCATGTCAAGTTTCATCAAAATCTTTCACTGTGAAAAACCGGGGCAAAGTCATCTGAAATCAAACAAATTTTACAATGTAGGTAGTGAAAACAAAATGTTATGTTAAGCGTTGTTCGAGGGTGGGGTGGGTGCATAAAATTCCAAATGCAAAGGGTTATTTTTCGTGCACGCCAATATGCACACAGGATTTCGATTTTTCGTCCTACCTAAAAAACTGCACGCAAAGTTAGTTGTCGGGCCTTCGGTCAAGAACCACAGACAAAGGGAGAGAACGGGGACCTCTGTTTTGCATACCATCCAAGCGACTAGGCACTAATCCTTGTACCATGGACGAGGGGACGGGCGTTTTTCGTCCCATCGAAACGACTAGACACAGATCCTTGCTAGGCCTTCCATACTTCACCACTGCCAACGGGGAACCACTTTGACCTCGGGTTTTCGTACCATCCAAACGACTAGACACTAATCCTTGCAAGGCCTTCCGTTCTGCAGCAAATGAGCCACGCTGGCCTCGTTTTGTCGTAACATACAAACGACTAGACAATGTTTCATAAATTAGTCATGTTCGCGTGGGTGGGTTGGCAGCAGAATTGATATGTACATGATAGTGACACGAGGAGGGGGGGGGGGGCGGGGTGTACACAAATCACACAAATCAGAGCTTTGTAATACACGCATATACTTGATATACTAAATACACAAATGGCTGAATTTCGAGACATTTCTGGCACTCTTTTATCACATAATGAGAACACTGCATTAATTTCTATATATCAATAAAATATGCCTCAGACCCATTGTTTATTTTTAAATTTGAATTAGACTCGTAACAAAATATATTTTCTGGCAACAAATAGCATATAAATAAAACTAGATTTACTTTCTGATTATTTTTTTAAAATGAAATCATTCCAGGGCTTTTATTGACATTTCAGAAAATGTAGAGTTGGTCCCATGCACTTGAGGCCCAAGGTCCTTGAAGTTGTACAGCTGCACCCGGTGACCGATATTTATTTAACGGGGAATAAGTGATAATTCATATTATAACAGTAAATAATTAAAATATCCCATAGGGATTATAATAATATGTATATCATGTAGGTGTGCATGTAGGTTAAAATTGTGACCTCTGTAAATAGGCCCGTTCCTTGCATTTAGTTTTAGAGTTAGGAGTGCTAAAATTGAGAGAGCGAAATGGGGTTGATCGACCACTCGACACAAACTAGGTTATTTCGGGACTAACGTATGGTTCAATTTTATTTCAATAATTCGCTTGCGCGTAGGGGTCTAGCAGTGGGGGGAAACCGGGTGATCCTGAAAAAATACACAGGTTGGACGGGCGACCTACTCCTTGTCACGTACGGAAAGATACCCCAGCAGTCAAAATAGGTCAAAATAGGCGATTTCGGTTTCTAGTGTCGATGCATCGTTACGGTCAGTTTAAAAAATTGTCTTTTAAGGATAATGTGTATAGTACCAATACCTATCACATACGGAAGAGGCGATAAAATCTCTTTGCATTTCCAATTTCAAAATTAATTAAAACCAATATTAAATTCTGAAAATCGTTTTTTTGCTAAAACTCTTTTCATTTTAATGTGATCAAAATGGGGGTAAAGCACAGAGTCAGGGGTGGTAATGGGCGTATTGTGTCCTAATTTCATGGTTTTCGGACAATCGGTGCCGGTGTCACGGCGAAATTCCACTTTTTTCCCCTCATGGAAGCCGTAAATTGACGCAAGGAGTAGGGTCGCCTGTCCAACCTTGTGGGTTTTCTCCGGGTCCTCCGGTTTCCTCCCACTGCTAAAGACCCCTACGCGCAAGCGAATTATTGAAATAAAATTAAACCATATGTTGGTCCCGAAATGACCTAGTTTGTGTCGAGTGGACGTTAAACCCCATTTCTCTCTCTCTCTCTCTCCGTAAATTGACTTGAGGCCAGTGTCCTTTAAGTTGTACAGCGGCACCAGGTGACCGATATTTATTTAACGGGGAATAAGTGATAATTCATATTACAGCAGTAAATAATTAAAATATTTCATAGGGATTATAATAATATATCATGTCTGGGTATTACAGGGTTAAAACCAATATTAAATTCCGAAAATCTTTTTTTGCTAAAACTCTTTTTTTTTAATGGGATCAAAATGGGGGTAAAGCACAGAGTCCGGGGTGGTAATGGGCGTATTGTGTCCAAATTTCATGGTTTTCGGACAATCGGTGCCGGTGTCACGGCGAAATTCCACTTTTTTCCCCTCATGGAAGCCGTAAATTGACTTAGAAAAAAAAACGACGAAAGGCAGGTGACAAGAACAAACGACTTGAACGAATGCAGGTATCACCTTGAAATTTTCAGGGTGCCTAGGTACCAACGTGAAAAGTTGCTCGCCGGAATTTAGTACTCATGGTACCGTTGGTTCCTGTGTAGCGCATGCGCGAAATCAAAACCAGCTAAACTCGAAAACAACCTTGTCGACACGGAAAACATCAAAGGAGAAATTCGAATTTTTGAAATATTCAAATACCAAACATTCGACCATGATCCAGGCTATCCTCAAATGTATTAATTTCGGTAATAGGAGACAGATTCTCTAAGCCACGACCAATTGTGTATGTTTTCAAGCCCATAAATGTGGATTTTTCACTAATTTTCATTTTCATTTCAAAATGGCGTCCATCAGTTGACCTAAATCAAAATTCTAAACCGATAGATTTTTAGGCTTTCCTTCAAGCATTCAGAAAATGTAACTCTTATGTCTTTAAGTAAAACATTGCAAAAGCCGTATGGACTTTTCACATTTTGAGATGGTGGCACTTCCGGTTTGCTCGACAAACTCCATATTTTGTGTACTCATCAGTACTGTCTTAGCTAGTACAGAAAAAAAATTTCAAGGCAATCTGACCTATATTTCGTCGATTTTTTTGAAAACTTTGATCCTTAATTTCACCAAGGGGAGATAATTTAGAAAAATTCCAAGGACATCATTGAAGTCGCATTGGCAAGATCTACTAACATTCTAAATTTCACGAAAATCGCACAACTATTAAAGAAGTTGTCAAATTGGTAATAACTTCCGGTTCGAAATGACAGCGACGAATTTTCGAAATGCCAAAATCCGAAATTGCAGATTTGAAGTAAATGTTTCAAGATACTCAAAGAAAAAAGAATTAGTAAAATAGGTCAAATAGTCACAGAGTTACAGCATTGTAGGTCAAATGCATTCCTTCGTAAAATTCGGTGATTTCGGATTCGTAAAACGTTTTGAAAATATATTTAATCAACAGCCACCACCCATTTTTGGGGGGATAGGTAAAAGTTTCAGAACGATCCTATGGTTAGATTCTGAGAAATCCGATTTGTGGACAAAACACAAAAAAAAAATAACAATAACTAGATCTGCTAAGCAGATATTAAAGCTTTCATATTCACAGTCACTGTCACATGTCATAGAAATAATATGAACAGAAAAAAAAAAATCATTATAATGAGTAAAAATTTGGTGAAGTTAATTCGATTTTTCACTGGTAAATAATTAAATAGACAAGTGGCATAACTTGACCCGCATCCCATCAGCTATCCTGAAAAATGCTGGAAAAATTAAACAAGTAAATTGTGTTTAGTACTGGGTTAATTAAGACAGGCATATGCCTTTGCTATACAGGATGACATGAGGGAAATTTAGCTTGGGAGGTGTAGGCCTGCAGCCAAAATTTCTAGCTAGCTTAGAAACACAACTCCGCTACACGGTCTTCCATAAAAGAAAAACTATACATTTTTGGAAAGCTTATGATGCCAGGAAGACAAAATATGGGAGTTCCAAACAAAATGTTTGCAATTTATTGATTTAGGGCCAGATGAAATTCGTCAAAATTGTCAAATAAATGCTATTTGTGTACTAACAATTCTGAAGTTGACATAAAATTAAATAGTTGGTAAAACACCTCATGCCTTCATCCTTGGCAATGAACAGTTTATTGGACAGATTTTGATGTAAATAAAAATGCTCAAAACACAAATGTCATGGGTGAATAAAGAATTGTGGAAATCCATTAACGGTAAAAAAGAATTATCTCCCTTTCTGTCAAATGCCTGTAATTGATAGACTATCAGGTCTTGTATGAATCATAAGACCAGGTGTGGGCAAACAAGCCCAATAATTATTTTGTTTGTTGGATCTCAAGGGCCTGTTAGGGTTGGTTGTTGGATGTTTGCTCAGAAATTATCGCTTGTATGGAACATGCTAGAGTCGATTTGTAGCATATTCTAGCCAGGGGATATGTTTGACAGTAGTTGAGTGATATGCTTTTGAAATAATGGAGATCAGTAGCACTTTATAAGCATTGAACCACATGATTTTTTTCCACTAAGATAAACATTCTAAACCCACATACATGTTCCCTTTCAATTAGCCACTACAGTATTTTTACAACTGTACATGTAGCTGTGAACTACTATTTCGGATATGATTAATGGTCAAATTACAAACATACTTGTAGATATAAGTTAAAAAAAATAATTGTGTATCTGGGCTGGAATGAAGGGAAAGGTTAGAAAACAGGATGAACAGTTGTGAAATTATTTATTAAAGTGAAACAATCATTGAAAATCAAAATTAAACAGTTACTCTGCACATCAAATGTCATCAAAGTTAATCTTCATTATCATCATCACTGTCACTAAATGTATTAACATCAAATTCGGTCTCTTTAACAGTTTTTTTTTCATTTTCACATTGACTACACATGCACAGGTCTGTACAAGAAAGGGGGGTTGGGATGGCCTAGAGTGCCGCGCTTCGACCTCTAGCTGGTCGGTCACCTCTGGCTTGTGGCTGTGGCTTTGATCCCAGGTGTGAGCGTATGTGGTATGGAGATAGAGGCGTCTTCTCAACCTCGTGGGTTTCCTCCGGGCACTCCGGTTTCCTCTCACTGCTAAAGACCCATACGCGCAAGCGAATTATTGAAATAAAATTGAAACCGTATGTTAGTCCCAAAATGACCTAGTTTGTGTTGAGTGGACGTTAAACCCCATTTCTCTCTCTCTCTCTGTACAAGACAACTTTGCTGGCCATTTATGATTCTTTCTCTTATGACATCTTCACAGAATATATTGTATGTGGTTTAATATTCGACGGAGGGCTAGTCATCTTTGCTGAAAAATATAAATAAACATATACATGTACACAATTAAAACAAAATTCTGGAGCTTGGTTTACTCTCATTAATTTCGTACAACAGAGGAAAAAGACACTTACACAGGGGTTAACATCTTATTTTCATGCAGAAACCAGCTAATGAAGACAGGAAGGCATTAGCAGTACAAGGAGAGATAGAGAGGAGAATTGCGGTTTAACGTCCACTGGACAAAAACATAGTAATTTCAGGACTCACCCATTGTTTCAGTTTTATTTGAATAATACCAGTGGCAAGAAGGCGGAGAATACAAATAAAAAAAACATCACAAATATTTACCTTTCTGATAACTGTCTAAGAAATTCAGTACATGTATATTGCCTATAACATTTTTGGTGATATCTGACCTCAATGGCCACACAATCTTGCCCTCTGATATGCCTTAAAATATCTTCATCCTCTTTCAATTCAGCAGCTTTCAACAGTTGGCCTACAAACAAATTTGCAAACAAATTATACACCATATAGCGTTGAATGTTGTTTGTGCTCAAGGGTGGGGGAGGGAATGTCACTTTGAGGCCTACATGTACATGTACCTGGCTGGTCAACTCTGGCATGCGGTTTAGTTCAGATCCTTTGTGTGAGCGGAAATGGTCTAGAGACAGATCGTCTTAGCAAGGCACCTACAAGTGGGCCAAGAAAATAAAAAACAAGTTAACTTCTCTATGTTTCATCCCTTGTGCAAGCAAATGTGCAACACTTTAACCAATGACTGTGCCAAATCAACAAATGGGGTAAAGGGCTTTACTGGCTAGCTTCATAACAATTTTACAGTGATTGCAGTAGCACTTCTGATTCCATTTACAACAAAAACAACAACACAATAATTAAAAACTGTAGGATGAATATATTTAATATTTATTAGTAATAATTATAAATTTAGTAAGTAACATAATATTAACATTAGGCCTACCTGAGCCTGTTTGGGTCTGAGTCTGTGTTAATACACCCTTCTTCCTATTTTCTCCAACAGTGACAAATCTGTCACGTTTTTTACATATAATACACACAACAGGCAGCACCGATTTACTCTGTCTTTTTGCTTCAGGAGCGTAATTTGTTTGGAGAGCTAGGTCCCAGATCGTCTACACTCCCGCTATTCCCTGGTTGGATTGTAGCCGGGGATTTTAATTTTTCTTTATCTATACGATTATTCTATCTATATACATTTGTACAGATATATTTGTATTCATAGATATATATTTGTATCAATACATTTAATTTTGTTGTTTGAAATAAGGGGGGGGGGGTGAATGGTTAGTATGTGCGCGCTGTATCATAAGGTCTGCCATTTAGTGAACTGGTGTGGTTTCAAATCCCCAGTTGTACGTGGCAAGGAGTAGGGTAGCACGTTCATCCTTCGAGGGTTTTCTCTGCGAACTCCAGTTTCCTTCCATTGCTAATGACCCATACGCACAAGCAAATTATTGAAATAAAATTGGACCATGTGTTAATGCCAAAATACCTAGTTTCTGTCGAGTGGACTTAAACCCCATTTTTCTCCGTCTTCTGATTGAAATATGAATACCACATCATTTATTGTCATTTTATATATTTATTATGTAATAATGATTTTTCTCTGTGTTAATTTTTCTTTGTGTGGATACACTATAATACAACAGCTGGCTGAAAAGTTCTAGATCTGAAGAGGAGAGATTTAATTGGCTTTTACCACCACAAGTAGAATCATTGAATGAATCATAGACATAAGACCTGCAGCTGAAGTGTTATTATTGTATTTGTACCAGACAATCTTGTGAACCTACCCATTGAAATCACCAAAAATGGACAGAACTATCTATATGGCAGTCATCAAGTATCTGCAACTGAAAGTCCTAACCCAAACATTGAAATATGTGGATACGGTCTCCACTATAGGAGACAATGGCCCTTCCTTTTCTGCACTAAAGAAGTGGTTGCAGGAGGTACTTGATCCAGTGACACCCAGTGACAATCTTTGCTGTTTTCAATATTTCCTAAAAAACATTTTAGCCAGATTTTTAAACATAGAGGAGACCTGGATTCATCAGTTTCAACCAGAATGCAAAATTCAATAAAAACAATGGAAGCATCCAGACTCGCAAGTCCCCAATCAAGCCAGGTCAGTTCTTTCGACTGGACAGGTGATGGGTTCACTCGTTTATGATTCCTAAACTATTCTGCTGATTGACTACCTTAAAAACAGCCAGACTATCAATAGAAGTATTATAAAGGTGTTCTATTCAGACAATACTTCTGTTCATAAATGGGTGATATCATGTCAGCTGTGATCAATTTTTTAAGGGTAACTGAAGATAATTTCTTCCTGGCAGACATCAAGGCCATGCAACATCATTAACTAAAGAGTGAGAGTGTACACTTCAAAAGTGACTACATAGAAAAATAAATGGAAACAATGGACTTTATACAATTCTATACAGTTCTTTCACAGATGGGTTTAGAATTTTTCAGCCAGCTCTCAATAGTTATTGAAATTGAATTATTTGTTTTGGTTTGATACATGATATTATAATTATTCTTACATTGTTTGTATTCTATTTTAATAATGAACATTAAAACATGCTAATATTTGTTCATCCTTGCTGTATTGGGTTGGATGGCCGAATGGTTAGTGTGTGCATGCTGTATCATACGGCCTGCCATTAAGTCAACTGGCGTGGTCTCGAATCCCTGGTTGTACGTGGCAAGGAGTAGGGTCACCTGTCCATACTCCTGATTTTCTCCGGGTACTCTGGTTTCCCCCCACTGCTAAAGACCCCTACGCGCAAGCAAATTATTGAAATAAAATTAAACCATATGTTAGTCCCGAAATGACCTTGTTTGTGTTGAGTGGACGTTAAACCCATTTCTCTCTAATTATGTTTTGCATACAATGTATAAATACAAATGTAAAGGATGTAACTTTAAAATAGAAGAAAATCAAATATTTTTAATATTAAACAATTGCTTTGTTCTTATACTTCTACAATCATTCTCATGTTGTTCATTTTGCCATATTTTTGTTTATTCATTCATATGTCTTCTATATAATGATGCATAGTATAGTACACTATGTTAAAAAAATACTAAAAATGTATGTTTCTTTATCACCAAATGATTTATGTAAGTTGTGAAGTAAAACAGTTGAACATTAAATCCCATTTCAATTTATTTGCATGAGGTGAAGAGAAATAATGGTATTGAACAATTGACTATTCATGAAAGATACTAAAGAGAACTTTATTAATTTATACATACTTTTGCTAATTTTATTGTTATATCTTGGTAGTAACATACCAATATAAATAGTAATATTGTTTCTAGATGAAGACTATTATAATTGAAATGAAATGGGATTTCACATCATAATGCTATGCACGGACTGGGCTAATAATGACAAAAAACTACAATGAATACAATAGTATAAAATGTTGCTATGAAATTAAATAAATGTTGTATACAATAATTAACCGGTTTAATACTATATTATACATAAAAGTGAATGAAATTCAATGTTTACTATTTTGCTTTATACATGAATATCACAGGTCAAATTATTGAAATAAATAATGCAAATAGATTATGATTTGAAACATCTTGTATGCCATTGTTCTATTTGTTATATAAGACTACATGATATAAACTTTTTGATAAGCCTCTTTTATCATATTTTGAACCAATGGAATAAAGAGCAAAGACCTAGAATATATTGTAAATATAATCAGGTTTTTGATCAACTGATCAAAGGAAAATATTGCGAATAAATTTGTTGTACTGCTATTGTAAAGAAATCATCATTGTTTTATTTGATATTTAGAATACACATAATCGTGTATATATTTGAAGTTAAGAGCAATTATGATTAGTGATACCTGTATGACCAACTCTCAAAAGATAATCTCATTAAACCAAGTACTTTTTTTCATTTGTATTAGTTGATTTATACTGAATAAAGATAACACAAACAAACAAAAATGAGTTGGCTGTGTGAACACCTCAATGACAAGTGGTATCAGATGCCTCAGAGAGAATATTCAAATGCTCCTTGTGATACGTTTGTAACACAATTATAACCTAATGTATTACACGGGAGTGGAGTGGGTGGGTCGGGGGGCTTTTCGATTGGCAGGGGACTATTAAAATGGGTAAGCAGAGATAAGCAATTTGATGAAACTTTGTGTATAGTTTCATTACATTAGTACCTTGACCATATTACATTGACCAAGTTCGACAATGAGCATTCTCTTAGTCAGGATAAGCAAAGCAACTTGATTGGCCGGGACTTTGAATTGGTTGATGCTTTGGGGTATGATAACTTTGGTTATAATGAAGTACTGGAACATAACAACCCAGCTTTTAATTGAGCTAGAATGTTTAAACTTGGTGTAGATGTTCATCAGGTCTTGACTGAACATTTTGAGCTACAGCTTGGCAATTTCATTGGTCGATGCTTTGGGACAAGATAACCTTGATTTCTATCTGACAGAGAGTGATGAAATTTACAGTATAGTTTGATTGCTCGATACTTTTGAAAAAAATATGAAAGTGCGATTAATTAATGTGTCATCTTTTACTTTGGGGTTTTGGCGGGAGACATCAGCCATACTGTTTGCTTGTTTAATATCCCCTATACAATATACGCTCGACCTCATTACCCGAACTGGGGTAGAAAAGTGGGATCTTTGACAATGAGGCAATGAACTTGTACATTCTTTTGCAGCTGCACAAGAGGGAACATCAACGCCGGATTAACCATGGTGGTGGGGAGGGGGGCTGATACCGACCGTGAAGCCCCGCAAGGGGGTCGGGTCAGGGGGTTCTCCCGCTAAGAAATTTTAATTGGAGGCCGAAAACGTGATTTCATGGCATTTCAGGCACTTGTGTCTGTTAGTCCCAAAATGACCTAGTTTGTGTTGAGTGGACGTTAAACCCCATTTCTCTCTCTCTCTCTCTCTGTACAAGACAACTTTGCTGGCCATTTATATATGTATATGCATGCTTTATTTTACTTTACACGACCTCTAAAAATGCCCCAAATCGTAAAAATACGACTTTTTGGATTTCGATCTCCTTTTTTCGGCTACCCCGGACATTTTCAAAAAATGATACAATGATTTCACACAACAGGCCAGCTATTAGCCTCTCGATTGACAAGAGTTTCATCGCCCTCCATTCATTATAACCAATGTCATCGTGCCCTAAAGAATCAACAAATCAGCTTGCTTATCTCTGCTTGCCCTAGGCAAAAAATGCTCATCTTTGGACTCAATCATGACATTGACCTAGTGAACGCCTACACCAAGTTTGAACATTCTAGCTTAATTAGAAGGAGAGTTCTTGTGTTCCAAAGTCCCGGCCCTTCAAATTGCTTCTATTTTTCATTTTCAATTCAAAATGGTGACCATCACGTGACCGAAATCAAAATTCTGATCCGATAGATTTTTAGGCATTCCTTCCAGGATTCCGAAAATATGACGCCCGAGTCTGTAAGTAAAATAGCAAAAAAGCCTTTTTGATTTTTCACGTTTAAAGATGGTGGCACTTCCGGTTCGATCGACAAACTCCATATTTTGTGTACGAATCAGTAATTTTTTGTCTAGTATCAAATTTTTTTTTTAGGTCATTCTGACCTATATTTCGACGATTTTTTATGAAAACTTTGATCCTTAATTTCACCAAGGGGAGATAATTTAGAAAATTTCCAAGGACATCATTAAAGTCGCATTGGCAAGATCTACTAACATTCTAAATTTCACGAAAATCGCACAACTATTAAAGAAGTTGTCAAATTGGTAATAACTTCCGGTTCGAAATGACAGCGACGAATTTTCGAAATGCCAAAATCCGAAATTGCAGATTTGAAGTAAATGTTTCAAGATACTCTAAGAAAAAAAGAATTAGTAAAATAGGTCAAATAGTCACAAAGTTACAGCATTGTAGGTCAAATGCATTTCTTCGTAAAATTCGGTGATTTCGGATTCGTAAAACGTTTTGAAAATATATTTAATCAACAGCCACCACCCATTTTTGGGGGGATAGGTAAAAGTTTCAGAACGATCCTATGGTTAGATTCTGAGAAATCCGATTTGTGGACAAAACACAAAAAAAAAATAACAACTAGATCTGCATAGCAGATATGAAAGCTTTCATATTAACTGCAAAGGGGGTTATTAGAATCTATTGAAACAATAAGTATAAATGTCATCAGGTATCTGAAAAATTACATTTACCTTATGAACAAAATGGGAAAAATACAAAACAAAAATTGTCGACTTGTGGCTACCATCCAAGGCATATTTAGAAAACCGTATATTATATTTATAGAGTACGCAGGACAGGAATTAGTTGTGCTTCAATGTAAACCGGCCCGTTTCTTGCCTTTAGTTTTAGAGTTAGGTGTGATTTTCAAAAGATTCAATCGGAAATCGCTGAAAATCAATTGGCTTCTTCATCTCATGACCTTAAACACTGTATAAATTTAAGGTCAATCGGATATTGAATTTAGCTTCTAGAGCGTCCACAAGATTTTTTAAAGTGATCAAGGGCAATAACTCTCACGGTAATTATCGGAAATGGCAGTAAATATCAGATATCGCTGAAAATCAATACTGTAGGCATCTTCGTGTCATGACCATAAATTTAGAGTCAATCGGATATAAACTTTGGCCTCTAGAGCGTCCACAAGATATTTTGAAGTGATCAGGGGCTACAACACTGCGCATAAATTTAAAGTCAATCGGATATTAACTTTGGCCTCTAGAGCGTCCACAAGATATTTTGAAGTGATCAGGGGCCACAACTCTGGCAGTAAATATCAGATATCGCTGAAAATCAATCGCCTACTTCGTCTCATGACCTTAACCACTGTGTATAAATTTAAAGTCAATCGGACATTAACTTTGGCCTCTAGAGCATCCACAAGAATTTTTTTAAGTGATGAAGGGCCATAACTCTGACAGTAATTATCGGAAATCGCTGATATTCAATTTCAATGTGGGCGTAAAAAAATTAACCGATGGCATATAATATTTAATGTATGATAAAGACAAAATAGTCGATTTCGGTTTTTGGTGTTGCGCTCATTTTAAAAAATAAAGGCTTTTACGGATAATGTGTATAGTACTAATAGCAATCACATACGGAAGAGGCGATAAGATCCCTTTGCATTTGGAATTTCAAAATTAATTAAAACCAAATTTAAATTCCGAAAATCGGTTGTTTATTTTTTGCTGAAACTCCTTTTTTAATCTGATCAAAATGGGAGTAAGTCACAGAGTGGTAATTGGCATATTGTGTCCAAATTTCATGGTTTTGGGACAATCGGTGCCGGTTTCGTGGCGAAATTCCACTTTTTTCGCCCTTACAGAAGCCGTAAATGGCGGAAAAAAACGAACGGCAGGAACCGTGTCAAGAACAAACGATCTGAACGAATGCAGGTATCGCCTTGAAGTTTTCAGTGCACCTAGGTACCAACGTGAAAAGTTCCTCGCCGGAATTTGGTAGTCAACGTACCTTTGGTTCCAGCGTGGCACATGCGCGAAGCAAAAAGAAATTACGGTCGATTTTGGGATTTTGGCTATATTTCGGAGTGGTTTGGTAGATGACGGTGGATCAGGGACTCAGATTGATCTAAAATGGCGATCATAACACAACATGATAATCACTTTGAAGTATAGGTAAATTTTCGCGACCGGGTTGTTTTGCTCTACCCAGGCAACGTTCCTGTGCTCCGATTGCCTTCAAATTTGCACAGAATGTACCTTGGGATTCTAGCTATCACATATTAAAAATAGAAGAGTGTTGGATTCCGATGGGATTCTAGGTATCACATATTAAAAATAGAAGAGTGTTGGATTCCGAGAACGTTCAAAAAAAATTCAAAACCCACCCCCAACAATCAAAGGTTTTTTGCTTAAAAAATTGCCGTATTTTATCGAATTTTTATTGTTCTTGATATCTGAGGATTTTCTCAATTTAATATGTGATAAATATCATCGCGGCGCAGCCAACCGCTAGAAATTCCAGAGATTTGGACCACCGGAAGGATGCCTCAGCAGTCAAAAAAGGTCAAAATAGGCGATTTCGGTTTCTAGTGTTGATACATCGTTACGGTCATTTTAAAAAATTGTCTTTTAAGGATAATGTGTATAGTACCAATACCTATCACATAAGGAAGAGGCGATAAAATCTCTTTGCATTTGCAATTTCAAAATTAATTAAAACCAATATTAAATTCCGAAAATCGATTTTTTGCTAAAACTCTTTTTTTTAATCGGATCAAAATGGGAGTAAGGCACAGAGTCCGGGGTGGTAATGGGCGTATTGTGTCCAAATTTCATGGTTTTCGGACAATCGGTGCCGGTGTCACGGCGAAATTCCACTTTTTTCCCCTCATGGAAGCCGTAAATTGACTTGAAGCCAGGGTCCTTGAAGTTGTACAGCTGCACCCGGTGACCGATATTTATTTAACGGGGAATAAGTGATAATTCATATTATAGCAGTAAATAATTAAAATATTTCATAGGGATTATAATAATATGTATATCTTGTCTGGGTACAGGGTTAAAACCAATATTAAATTCCGAAAATCGTTTTTTTGCTAAAACTCTTTTTTTTTTAATGGGATCGAAATGGGGGTAAGGCACAGAGTCCGGGGTGGTAATGGGCGTATTGTGTCCAAATTTCATGGTTTTCGGACAATCGGTGCCGGTGTCACGGCGAAATTCCACTTTTTTCCCCTCATGGAAGCCGTAAATTGACTTAGAAAAAAAAAACGACGAAAGGCAGGTGACAAGAACAAACGACTTGAACGAATGCAGGTATCACCTTGAAATTTTCAGGGTGCCTAGGTACCAACGTGAAAAGTTGCTCGCCGGAATTTAGTACTCATGGTACCGTTGGTTCCTGTGTAG